AATCAAAGTGTAAAATGACGATTTGCACTGACGTTATACACACACAGTGTAAAATGTCGAATTAACAGCATTTTTATTGTAGTGTGAGTAATTCGACGTTCCACACTGTGTGTGAAACGTCAGTGTAAATGGGCGAAATACACAACAAACATTTGTGTTTACACTGTTTAATTTCTCTGAGTATTACAGACATTTATGTTAATGTAATGGTTAGTAACATTACAATTTAAATGCTGGTAAATCTGTATGCGTAAGATATTATTATTACTTTTCTGAGAGATTTGTTCGAAATAATAATAAAATAGAATATAGTTTGTGCTAACTTTCAATGAACTATCATTATTAATTTTTTCAAATTGTAGAGAGACCTCTTGTATACGGGGTGTGAAAAATGGGCCAATACCAAGCAAAAATTCAGGAATTGAGTCAAGAGGTGATATACGCACTATGGTGAAAAACTTGTATATTATGTACTTTCCTTTGATTGGCGTAAATTTTTCGATTTTTTTTCATCAAGCTCGATCGAGTTCGTTCACATGGATATAACGTTGAAGAACATTCAGCTGTAACGGAGGATGGATACATATTGGGAATGTTCCGCATGTCTAAAGGACATAATTCACCCGGAATAAGAGTTCCGGTACTTTTAATGCATTCACTTTTAGAGTCATCGAATCAATGGACTGTTTTGGGAGAGAATTCTTTAGGTATGTCATGCCATTCGCCAGTGAGTTCCATTTCTTTAAATGCGTACATACATATAAATTACAGCTTATCTCCTTGCTGATGCTGGCTATGACGTTTGGCTGGGCAATGCTAGGGGTACACAGGCATCGCGGAAACATGTATATTGGTCTGAACATGAAACATTTCCTGATCCGCTAGGGTTAGAAATGAAGTTCTGGCAATATTCGTGGCATGAAATTGCTATTTTTGATTTGCCAGAATTAATTGATCTTATTTTGGGTTGGACGAATTCCAAAAAATTGCATTACGTAGGCTTCTCACAAGGTACAACAGCATTGCTGGTGCTAACATCCATGCGCCCTGAATACAATTCCAAAATTATCCAAGCGTAATATATATATTGTAACGTGATTTTTGAATCTTTTTACAAACTGAAATTTTTCCGATTTTAGTCATTTGTTGGCACCAGTAGCCTACATGGCACATGTTAAACATGCCCTTCTCACATTCCTGGGCAACGCACAAAATGAGAAAAAGTTGAAAAAACATTTAGATAACCTTTCACTTTACAAACTAACTTTAGAAAATATGGGACTTGTGGAAATAGTTAAAACGTTATGTCAAATATGGCACAATGCTCCACTAGAAAAATGTGATATTGTACATTCACAATTGGAATCAACTCAATTGAATGAGGTTAGCTATAACTTAAAATTAATTTTTCTCTGGATGTTTCATAGTTCTTTTTTTAAATAAATTTCAGACAAGTATACCACTTATTGTGGAGCATGCACCTGGTGGAATTTCAACGCAACAACTTTTTCACTATGGTCAACTTGTGCTTAATAAACGTTTCCAACCTTATGACTATAGGGATGACTGGATGAATACACAAATATACGGAAGTAGCCCTCCTCCCGAGTATGATTTAACACGTATCACAGTGCCGATCAATCTTTTTTCCTCTCACGCGGACGATAAAACACCAGTTGAAGATGTGAATAAACTTCGATCTGAACTACGAAATGTGAAATTAGATCATATTGTCACGGTTCCTCATTTCGGACATACTGATTTTGTCTATAGTCGTAACGCGCGCACCGCAGTATACGATAAACTGATAAGTGTCATGAATGACGCCAACAAACATTATTAACCGACAAATTTTACCAATTTTCGGATATTTTAATCTTGATCCAATTGAGAAATTCACCATATTAAATAGATCATGCTTTATAGCCATAGCATTGTCATATACGAAAGTTGAAATAAAACAATAAATTAAATTAACATCCATTTTTGTATTTTTTTTTGAATTAGGGAGTATTAAACTCATTGGTCGGCCGTTTTGTCCACTCGAATTGGATAATTTTTACTCGAAGCGGATAATTTCCACTCGAATTGAATCTTTTTCCAGTCGATTTGGATTTTTTCCACTCGTATCGAATATTTTCCACTCGATTTTTTCCACTCGAATCGGATAATTTCCACTTGTTAAATGGGGAATTAAAAGACAACTCAACGATTAGCGTTCTAAACCATAACTGAATTTATTGAAACATTGAAATTAGTTTTAAGTAAATTTGAATAAAGTAAAATGAACTGTGATATGATACGTGTTCAATTTGTTGTTCAATGTTCATTGAACATTTTGGCGCCCATCAAAAATGAAACTATTGAGTTCATGGCCAAGTGGTGGTTCCCGATAGTCTTCCGATTTGGATGCTTCGTGATAATGATACTGGTGTGGATGGTATTTCGATGTTCTCTGTTTGCGCCGTCGCGTGTGTGACCGGTGTCTTAATCAGTTTGATGCTTTGGGTATGAACGAACCCTTTTTGTTGCCTTTGTTGTTTACGTCTTTTCTTTCTATCTTTTTTTCCTATAATATACGAAACTAAATGCATTAAAAAATTTCATGAGAAATTTACGCCGATATCTATCTTCTTCTTCTATATCTATAAATCAGAAAGTATGTATGTATGTCCGGGGTTGGCGTCCAAACGCCTCAACTGATCCGGATATTGGGAACGTTGCATTGCGTCATAAGTCCATACTGACAGTAAAAAGAGAGAAATTTCTGCAACGTTTTGAATGTTCAAATGTATATTAAGTTTTTATTCACAGTACACAGAAAAATTATCTATCATTTATTTTCGTCACAAAATTGATATCAGAAATCTTGTGTTTCACATTTTGGTTTCGTCACTCGCTCTTCACCTCGTCAGAGGTTTTTTATTTGATATTTATTTACTGCTGAAATTTTCAAACCACGAAAACATGCAATGTAGCACCGATGCTACATTCCAAAACTAAGCGCTTTCAATTAAATTTCAATTCTTTTCTATAATGTTATGTATATAAAAATCATTAAAATATTTAAAGAAATAATCATAATAAAAATATGTATGAAACAACAGTACGCGGTTCTTGTCTTTCATTTTAATTTTACTCACGACGTATACGCTGTAACTTATACTACATGTTACCTAGTTACATGAAAATTACTAGATTTGACGGCCTTTGAAGAAAACAATAACATACAGAACATGCTGCAAATAATACTAATACAAATTTTATGAGAGCAAAAACCAAATATATAAAGAGACAGCGCAAAAGGCAAATGCAAAACCAGCCTACTTACCGGTGGGCGCTGGTGAAGCACTTTTTGTATGGAAATATTTGTTGAAAATTCAACAATACGCCACCTATTAAAGACAATAAAGATTTTCGTTACTACTGCTGTCTTGACACAGCTCTAGCGAACTATATAGCTGTATTGCAAACGTCTTATCTTTTATCCAAAAATGTTTCTAAGGCATGGATTGTCATCGCATGCCCGTTTGAAAAACGTTACCAATTTGAATACACTCGGTGCATGAATCAAAGGGTAGGATCTCCAGCCCGTGAAGTCAGCCCGTATGGTATCCAACATTGGACATCTATCTATGAGGTGGGCAGTGGTTTCCCCTTCTCCACCACACAGTCTACAGTCCGGGTCGTCTCTGAGATTTAGATTTCTCATATGAGAATTGACCCTGGCGTGCCCGGTAAGTAAACCAATTACCATCCCCGGAGGTCTTCCTTGGGCAATTTAGCTAATTCCACCGTGAGTTTTGAACATGTGAATTGAACGAAGTGTTTCGTTTGCTCACATGAGAACGTACCCTGCCAATTTAGGCGGGATCTGTTGCTGAGCCAAGTAGCTAATCGGTTCTTGACTCGTGAATATTCAATTGGTATGTATGGTTCTGGACCCTCTATTGCATCGTGTGCAGCCAATTTTGCCACCCCGTCTGCCAGGTCATGCCCCCGAATACCAGTATGAGATTTGATCCAAACCACCCTAAGGTTGTTCGTTTCAGAAATGCGCTGGAGTGCCTCGTAACAGTTCATAGCCAAGCCATTTTGCATCTTAATATTCTTAAGATCAGTTATGGCTCCCAAACTATCTATGAAGATAGCTATATTTCCCCGTACTGGGTCCCCCAGTATTTTGTATGCACAATGAATAATTCCAGATATTTCCGCCTGTTTGACTGTTGTTGTTTGTCCCAGGGGAAATGAATAGGTGAGGTTCTCTGTTTCACAGTAGAAGCCGCATCCACTACCTGTTTCTCTGACAGAACCATCAGTGAAAAAGGAGTTTTGTGCCCATTGTTTTTGCTGGAAGAATTCATTGAGACTTTTTGTTATAATAATCTCGAAACTCCTATCGAAATTGTAGGAGGTCGTAATTAGTTTGTCAGAAGGAGCCCCCAAAATCTTGTCAATATTGAAAAGATTTGTTAGGACCCCAAACTTTACCAATGGCAGACCTACAGCACCAAAAGACTTTCAGGCATTTCTTGACTCTGTACTCAATGTGGCTTCGCCATGTAAGTTTTGAGTCAAGCATAACACCCAAGTACTTTACATGATCTCTTTTTTCGATTCTTGAACCGAACAGAGTTGGGTTCCTAAAACCGTGGAGGTTTCTGTTCTTTGTGAAGATCATGAGTTCTGATTTTGCCGGGTTTACCCTGAGTCCCACCTCCAGACACCATTGTTCGACCAGCTTAACTGCTGACTGGGTTCTGTCTGATAAAGTACTCAGGAATTTTCCCCTACAAATTATGCTGAGATCATCCGCATACCCAATCGCCTGGTAGCCATTTTCGTGAAGTCTCTTTAGGAGTCCATTCATTACTAATAGCCAAAGGAGAGGTGACAGCACTCCGCCTTGGGGAGTCCCCCTCGTTGCATGCACTATCACCTCATCCCCCCGATTCCGAAAGGTTATGGTTCTGTTCATTAGCATCGAATTAATCCATTTTTGGATCATTTGGTTTGCACCAATTTCTCTTACACTTTTATTTATAGCTTCAAAGGATACATTATCGAATGCTCCTTTAATATCCATAAACGTAGTGACCATGAATTCCTTGTCCAAGAGTGTTTTCTCGGCCATGGATACAATTTTGTGGAGAGCCGTTTCGGTTGATTTACCCTGCTGGAAGGCGTGCTGACTTCCATGCAGGTCACCCGAAGCCTCCAATATTTCCCTTAGATACCTTTCGATCAGCCGTTCTAGTCCCTTTAAAAGGAAAGAGGAAAGACTGATTGGTCTAAAGGATTTCGGCGACGTATAGTCATCTTTTCCTATTTTTGGAATAAAAGTTACTTTTACGTTTTGCCATGAGCTGGGGACGTATCCCAGAAGTACCGAGGACTTGTATATGGATACAATTATATCTCCGATAATATCCCATG